GGGACCACAAGAGGGTAGCTGACCCAGCACAGGGGCTGGGCCTCTGGAGACCGGTCTGGTGGAAGGAAATTACCAACGACTAGTGAGCTGGTGGAGGTGGGTGGACGGTTTCAGTGAGGAGGCAGCGGGTGGTCCAGCCTTGAGGCTGGAGAGAGCCAAGCCTCACAGGAGACCTGGATTTGGAGAGTCTGGGAGCCAGACAGGCTGGGCATGGGCTCTGGAGTGAGCCCATCTGAGTTAGAACCTGGTTCCCCTGCTTATTAACTGTGTGACCTTGGGAGAGCGACTTGACTTCTCCAAACCACAATCTCCTCCTTTGTCAAAGGGCAATCACAGCTGCACTTAGTCACAAGGCCTTGTGGGATCAAATGAGATAATTGGTTTGAAAGCACACTTAGCATGATGCTAGGCTCATGCTAACAATACTCAACAAATAGCAGCTATTATTACTACACAGGGTCAAAGAATGTAAGAGAAGGAAGGAATCTGGCAAAAAACATGTAGTTCTACCTCCTTATTTTTCAAAGAAATTAAGTGACATTCCTAAAGTGAGTTGGTTTCTAGATGAGCCGGTCCTGGAATCCGGGTGTTCACTTTCTCAGTCTCATCTGATGATAAAGAAGCAATATGCTTAGTGCTTGGGCTCAAATCCCCACTCTGATGAAAGATACTAAGTGACATTCCTAAGGTGAGCTGGTTTCTGGCAGAGCTGGTCCTGGAATCTGGGTGTTTCCTTTCTCAGTCTCATCTGATGATAAAGAAGCAACATGTATAGTGTTTGGGTTCGAATCCCCACTCTGCTACTTACTACTCCATGGCATTAGACACCACAGTAAACCTGTCTAAACTTCTGCTATAAATCGGGTTAAACACCTCATTACATTGTGGGAACCTCCTGAGTAGATCAGCACCTACGTACCCAATTCATCATAATTCTCCTTATATGTTGAAACTCTTACGTAGCCAAAATCCTGGTAAAAAAGGAGGCTCTGCCCTGATCCCCTCCTTTTCAAGAAGGGATTAAACTAGATGACAGGCAGCTAGGACATCAGCAAGAAACCCAGCCAAGGCAGCTTCCTTATGCCTCCTTTGTGACCTTTCTTCTCATTAGCTAAAATGATGAAGCCGTCACACAGAAGCCAGGTCTCAGGTGAGCACCCCGGCAGACCATGAAATGGTCAAATTTCCCTATGCATCCTTTGGTTCGGGGAGTGGCCTTGGAGTTGGTTCAATGTAGTAGGTACAAATTCATTGCCGCCGAGTGAGATGTGGGAGGAAGGGGGAAAGGGCAGGAAGCTGTTCTGCAGCAGCTGGAACACTGGGAGAGGGAGAAAAGGGAGTTCACTGGAAGGAATTGTGGGGTTTGGTGACATGCAGTGGTGGTCTTACACGTCCTGCTCAAGAGCTGGGTTTGTTTTTCCCAGACAGTGGGGGGCCATGAGAGATTCTGGAGTGAGGGAGTGACAAGATTTGAGCGCCTTCAGGGGAGATAAAGCATTAAGGGCAGAGATGGACGATGACAGAAAGGAGACTGGAGAGAAGTAGGGGGATGGGAGAGCTGTTTCAGAAGCAGAACAAATGTGGCCTGATTGGGTGTGGGGCCCAGGAATACAGCAGGGTCAAGACTCCACTGAGGTTGCGGGTCTGTGTGATCAGACAGGTGGCAATGTCATCTTGTCCAAAGGTCCTGCTCGGAGTCCCAGGTTTACTCCACATGGTGTCTGGAGTGTGGGGGCCTCTAGGTAGGTCAGTACCTACGAAGATTATAATTCTCCTTGCACATAAAGGCTCCATGCAGTCAAGACCCTGGTAGAGAAGGAGTCCCCGCCCTGATTCCTTCCTCCCCAAGGTCTCTGCTGCCACTGGCCGGTACAGACTCTAACCCAGACGGTCACAGGAGCCTCCTGCTTGTCGTTTCTTGCTCCATTTTCTCTCCACTTCAATCTACCCTATGTGTTACGACTAGGAAAAGTAGTATCCTGCACATGTTACTCATCATAAAACTTTGATGGCCCTCTGCCGGCCTCAGTGTTGCTTCTCAAACTATCTGGGGTGAAGGACCAGTTTTAAAAAACATTTCCAGTCCATCATGGGTCATTGTTTTCATAAAATACCCTAGAAGTTAATTTCCAGAAAAATGAAATAAAAAAGATGTAAAATATACATCCCAAATATTTATTATCAGATTCAATAGACATAAATTTATTCTGTCAAATTGCTATGGCTTTTTGTGCTCAGTTTCTGTATTTGTTATGGGTGGACAGGTGACTTTGCAGAGCAAAGTCACTGCCACCCACAGTGGCAATGGTCTACAGGACAACATTCCAACTCCTTCTCCTCTTGTTCAAACCCTCTGTAGTCTCAGGCAAACTGCTCTCCGGGCTTGCTGGCCATTGGTCTCTCATTGACACACTCCACCATGTCAATCTGGCTTGCTCACTGTCCTTCAGATTCATCTTCAGCTTTCTCAGGCTATTTCATGTTCCCCTGGCCCTAGAATGTTCCATCCTGGCTACCAACCCTTGATGCCTATTTAAATTCTAACAGCAGCAGCAGCAGATGTAGATTGAGGATTTCCTAATTTCCAGGCCCTGTGCTTTTACTCATGATTTCACTGAATCTGTCTAACAGGTAGTTACTAACATTCGTAACATCTTTTATAAATCAGAGCAGATCCAGCGTTCTCGCTCTAACGACAATCATCAGCTGAGGAATGGTCACCTATCTGGGCCAGTAAGAATTCCACACCAATTTTTGCTGGAACAAGGGGGAAGAGCTCAGCTATAGAACATGGGTCTGGAAATGCCTGTGGTCATACGCGCTACTGTAAGGGGACGGATGTCTGAAAGTGGTAACACGCAGAGGAGAGGGAAGCTGAGCGATGCAGGGACAGCCCCTGCCTCCAGTCCTGGTCTTCTTTGCTTATTCTAGTGGATGCTGGGATATGCCACCCGGTTCTTCCCTGAGGACAAAAAACTTGTTCTCCAGCCCCTGGCACTGTTACCCTGGCAGAAGAGAGCCACCTATCCTGTGTCATGCCCCTTTCCAGGGCAGCCTATAGCTAATGATGGGTAGACCTGGGGATGTAATTGCTGGCCCTCTTGCCCCCAACCCAGGACAACTCTGAAAGGTCATCCCAGCTTAGAGCTCTAGGCAGGGTCTGCTGGGCTCCTTACTGCAACCGCACCGTGGCTCAGCTTCTCCCCTCTGCCCACCCTGGTGCTGCGGTAACCAGCCCGTTGCTAATATTCTCAGGAGGGGTAAGGAAATAGGGCTAATTGCTTTACACAGGAGAATGGACCACTGGGGTATGGGGTGGAGCAGATTTGGAGAAGAGGAGGAACCACAGAACTAGAACATGGTCTGGGAAGGAGTTTCAAGAAGTCAGTGGGTCCAAAGCAGGATGGGGAGAACTTCAAAACCTTGCCACAGGAGAAACAGGTGAAGGAAGTGAAAATATTTGGTAGAGAAGGAGAGATTTGGGAAGATTATGACTGCATTCTTCACATATTTACAGGCAATCAAGTAGGGGCTGGATCAAACCCTTCTGCTGGGTCTTCCCTTTGACCCTCTACAGTTCATTCCCACACATTCAGATCAGGTCATATCGCTCTCCAGCTGAAAATCCTCCAGTGGCTTTTCACCATGCTATTTATACTCTGTTTTATTCCTTTGAGAGAGACAGAGAGACGGGGAGAGAGAGAGAGAGAGAGAGAGAGAGAGAGAGAACCTGAGCAGGGGAGAGGCAGGAAGAGAATCTTCAAGCAGGCTCCCAGCACAGAGCCTGACATGGAGCTCGATCTCACAACCACGAGATCATGACCTAAGCTGAAATCAAGAGTCAGATGCTTAACCGACTGGGCTACCCAGAAGCCACTTGCCATACTATTTATAGAACACAAGTGTCTTTTCAATGACCTGGAGGTCTTTCCTAATCTGGTTCTTGCTTTCACTTTCCCAACTTATCTCTAGTGTATCTTCTCCTCACTTACTCTTCTAGCTGCACTGGCCTTCTTTTTGCTGTTCACTGTATGCACCAGCCCATTGCTACCTCAGGACCTTTGCACCAGCTTCTCTCTTTGGCTGTTCTTCTATGAGGTCTTTATTCACTCCTTTCCCTGTTTTGTTCAGTCTTGAACCAAAGGTTATTTCGTAAGAAATATTCCCTTAACTAGTTCCTACCTCATTGCCCTGTTTTGTGTCCTTCCTAGGACTCTTTGCTTCCTGAGATGGTTTTGCATCTTTGCTTCTTATGTGATTCTGTCTCCTGACTATCTCTCATAGAGAATGCAAACCTGACATGAAAAGAGATATGTCTGTCCTCTTCACCACTGTACCTAAAGCATGTGGTATGGTTTTGGCACACGGCAGGTGCTCATAACTATTTGTTGAGTAAAATAATGAATGAGCACAGGCTTCAAAAGTAGCTCTAGAGCTGAGAGGTGGACAATCTGTAGAGCAGACTTTTGAAGCTGTAGCTGGCAGGCTCAAAGCCTCACCATGGAGGCGAATGTCACTTAGCAGGGAACCAGTAGGCCACTGGGAATATGGGGTTTGCAGTCAGATAGATCAGGGTGTACATCTTGGCTCTGCCACTTCCCAGCTGGCCACAAGCCTCGGACAGGTTCCTTGACCTTGAAAAGCCTCAGTTCTCTCATCTGTAAGGATAGGAGTACGAGCTGAAGCCACTCCCTAGGGGCACTGGGATGACTAAACTTGGGAAGCCCTCAGTGAGTGCTGGGCACTTAGCAAGTGCTCAATAGATGTTAGCTCTGCAGTTTGGCTGTTCAGTTTCTGTTGCTTCGAGATTACTGGTCCTACTGCCATTACCTCCATGAGGCCACAAGAGCTGGGGACTCACATGGGGACCGTGCTGCCACAATCCCTTCCCAGGCAACCAGCTGATATTTTGTTCCCTGTCACACTAACTGCCCTGGGGGCCGGAAGAAGCAAGCAGAAGTTTCCTGGGTTCAGGGGTGGGGGTGGGGGTCGTGAGTTACCATCTAGACTGTACCTTGTCCACTTCCTGCCACTGACACAAACCAGAGCTGATCTCCTGGGGTTGGAGCCAGGTGAGGAAACAGTGAGCGGTTTCTTCGCAGGACTTCTAGCTGTTACAAGAGTCCCAATATGGCACACGTTACTCCAATCTGCGCTACTGTGTGAAGCTGAGTGTGTTTTGTGATGAGGCAGCAGGAGAAAGCTGGGGTCCTGCTGGGAGCAGCTCTGCCACGGGGGGTGGGTGGAACCGGGAGGGAGAGGTCCTGTGTGTAGAGGAGCCCACCTTCCGCTGGTCCTGCACCTTCCTTCCTCTGGCCAACACACAGGTGACGGGTTTATGCATCCTGACCCAGAAAAGAGCTGGTCACAGTCAGCCAACGTGACAGAGGGGACACTATTGCAATAGGTAAATACAGGCTGAGGCTATCATCTCTATGTCCCTTCTGCCCCTTTGTGACGGCAAGGGAAATGTCTTTCTTCTGTTCAGATGACAACAGCAGCTGACACTATCCATATAAAGAAGGAAACACCTACACGGCATGCACTCACGGCAGCCTGGGCACGGTTCTGCAGCACTTCACCGGCGTCGCTTGTATAACCCTATGCGGTGGCCAGCATCATTACCCCCCATTTACAGATGAGTGAAATGCTCCTCAGCGAGGTTAGGAACTTGCACAGGCTTATGCCACCGGCGACGGGCAAGGCCAGGACGGTAACCCAGACGGTCTGGCTCCGGAGTGCGTACTCGATCGCCATGCAAACGGGCCTATGTCTAAGGGGGATGGTTTGCCTTGTCCACGGTGGGCTTCCCGTCACTGTGGTGACAGTCTGATAGGACTGATACGATTCAGTAGGCAGAGAGGGAAAGGACAGACCTGAGGTCCCTGGGTGGGGAAAAACACATAGTTTGGAACAATGCTGGGAGGGTCTGACCACAGCAAACCCCCTCCGGCGTCAGGTTCCCCTTAAGAATGTAACAGACACCACCTACTCCCCCTCACGTTCCCTCAGGAATTTGATGAAAGACCTAACTGAAAACAAGTAGACCTTAAAACGTATGACCCACAAGGAACGTTCCTCACGATGAGAATGAGCCAATCGGGAATGGACGGCCACAGATGCCCCCTCCCCCCCTCAAACGAGCCAATCAGGAATGGACAACCCAGTACCGAGAGCTACCCAGTCAGTAAGGGTAGGACCTGAGAAGGAAAAAGGGGGAAGGGAAGGGGACATGACCAGAACCTTATGAAACTAGGACCCTCGCCTGCAGTCCTCAAGCATTCACTTTCGAATGCCCTCTCTCTGTAAAGAGAGCTTTCATACTATTCTTCCTTTCTGATCTTATACTCTAATAAACTTGTGCCTGCTGCTCATTTGGTGCCCACCTCGTCATTCTTCCAAGTAGCGAGACAACGAACACTGGGTATTGCAGTAAAAAAATCCTTCAACGACAGGGGTCAGCAACCGAGCTAGACAGAGAGGTCTCTGGCGTGTATTTAGTGTATCCTCTGTGTCTGGCTTGGAGCTGAGCACTCTGGCAACAGCATCTCTCGGCATGCTCCTGACACCCCTGCCAGCTAAAATGGTCATCTCGCTTACCAGGCAAATATACTGGAATTAAAGAGATTGGGTAACTGGCCTAGGTCTCTGGGCTGGTGAGGCTGGAGCTGGGAATCCAGCAGGCCTGACTACCCCAATCCAGAGTTCTCGAGCACTCACCTGGGCCAGTTTCCAAAGGATTAAACATCAGAGGCACTGGATTGGACCAGCTGACTTCTGGGGTCCTAGCTAACGTGAGATGTCCCGGGGGCTAAGTTTCTGACACAGAACCCCGCAAACCCTTGAACGGAGCTGCTGTAGCTGGTTTCTAGGCCAAAGAAGTAGTCGTTACGTTTCAGATATTATATTTAAGTATTTCGCTTCCCAGCCTTTTTTCTCAGTGAAGGCTTCCTTCGCTACTCTGTCTAACCCTTCACCCTCAACATTCCCTGTCTTGGTTTCCTATTTCATTTTTCTCTACAGCTCCTATGGCTCATCTAACATACCCATCTATTGTTTATGTTTTATCGTCGCTGTTAAAATGTAAGGTCAAAAAAAGGCAGGAGTCTTGTCTGTTTTGTTCAGGCTCTGTCCCCAGTGCAGCACAGGACAGTGCCTGGCACATAGTAGGTGTTCAATAAATGTTGTTCCACGATTCAGTGTATGAACTGCCTGAAGACAAAAGCTCGTGGCTACAAAGAGATCAGGATGTGGTCTACTGAGTCTCTGGCCTCAGTGGGGGCATTCAGGAGGCATTTCCCTGTGTCGGCGACTGTTTTTTTCTGCCACACGTAGACACTGAAAACTGTGGTCTGCCGATAGCTCTGGGATTATAGGACTCCTCAAAGCCCGAATGAAGGAACTAGCCAGGGCCATCAGACAAGTGAGGCACAGGGAAGCCACTTCTCTGGAGGTTGGTGAGAAGAGCCAGATCACAGGCCCAGCAGGTTGGTAGAGGGCAGGGGGCAGGTTGGCAACCAGGGGGCAAGTGGGGCGGCGAGCGGCAGCCGTTAGGAGCGGGAGCGCAGACACCCGCAAGTGGCCTAGAGCGCGCACCCACCAGCCCGCCGCAGGGAGCACTAACGTAACCTGCCGAACTTCCGTTTTATAACGAGGGGAGGGGTGTTCAGGGCTGTACCTCGTGGCAGGGTCGTTGCGGGGACTCGCGGAGATCGTGCAGGTGGCCCTGAGCCCCGCTCCGCAATGTCGGAGGGCTTGGGCAGGCGGCGCGCAAGCGTGGTGAGGCGACGGCGGAGGAAGGACAGGTGGTGGCGCCTGGAGGCAGAGCCTGCGGCCGGGATCCCGGACGTCAGCCGCGGGTCGGCGTGGGCGGAGCCGCAATCTGAGCAGGGCGGAGGCCCGGGCGCGGAGGTGTTCCCGGGGGCGGGAGGCGGCAATCTGTGTCTATAGGCTCCCCTAGGACACGCCGCCTGAACCTGGCCTTGGCCAGTTAAGCTCCGAGTGGTGCCGACACGCTGCGCGGTTGCTCACTCCTCTCACGGCGCCCAGCCGTACGCACCTGCTGCCTGCACCTGCTGCCCAGCCCGCCACAGCCCGGCCTCAGCATGACGGACCGGGTGGCCTTCGACACGGATATCGTCACCCTGACCCGTTTCGTCATGGAAGAGGGCAGGAAGGCCCGCGGCACAGGCGAGATGACCCAGCTGCTCAACTCGCTCTGTACTGCGGTCAAAGCCATCTCCACCGCCGTGCGCAAAGCGGGCATTGCGCACCTGTGAGTCAGGCCTCTGGCCATCGGGCAGCAGCGTCCTGTCTGTTCCGCTGGGGATGTGTGGTCCCCTTCCTCCTAATGCCAGCCTGCCTGTCTGTCTGACAGATGGGAGTCTGTCTCTCTCTTTCCCTTTTCCTGGTAGCCTCTTTCTCCCAAAGCCTGTCCAACTGCACTTATGCCCGGGCTCCCCTCCCTTGAGCTTGGGGGTGCCCCAAGGTGGGGGGGACCTGGCTCACAGTCCACAGCCGTCTCCATTCTGCAGCCCTCTCCTCTGGGCTGAGCAACCTGCCTTTGCACCCACTCTCCGCCTCTCCCTGGCGAAACTGGCTAGCCAGGCTGAGCACCTGGCCTGCCCACCATACCCAACCGGGCCTCCTACAGGAGAGTGCTGGCGCGGGTGCCTCCTTTCCCTTTGTCTTCTTTGACCTCCTTCACTTCCTCTGGAATTGGGGTCCCAAGCTCAGGTTTCTGATTTAGTAGTACCTCCCTGACCCTAAACAAGTCCCGTTAGGAAGAAAGGAGACCCAAGGTAGGCTGGGAGGAAGCCTGCATGCCCAGAGCTCCCAAGAGTAGCAATGATTGTGAGCAAAGGGCTGCTATAGGTCTGGGGTGTCTGAGAGTCTGCATTTCCAAGAAGCTCTGCGGTAGGTGGTGCAGATGCTGAGAATCTGCACATCATGTTGTGTGTGTAGCAGAGGAATCATGGGCCATGGGATTCAAAGGGCGCCTTTTTATGAGGCTTTTGTAAGTAACACAGATACCCTTCGGTTTACTCTGGTGTGCACAGGTACTTTATATTTAGATTGGTCCTTGCCTTAGCTGAGATGTCCCTGGGCTTTCAGACTGCCCACACTGCTTCCTAATGTTTCCTACACTTAGGAATACTGTAAAAATGTGTATGATGCTCATAGCTGATCCGAAAAAATATAATGTGGACGACCTGGATTCCTTTTCTAGTGAGCTGTCTGGCTTTGGTCCCATACAGTGGGTTGGCGGAGCTAATTCTTAAAAAAAAAAGGGGGGGTGTTGATCACGTTTATTCAGATGATAAGCAGAGACGGGCCTTGCTGGGATTGGAACAAGTATGTTAGGAAGGTGGTGGTTCCATTACTATTTCACCTACAGCCACTCTTAATATGTTTCTAAGGAGCCTTTGTTTTAGGAAATCCTCAGTTAACATCTTCGTTCAGATTTAATTTACAAGTATAGGTGCCCTCACCACCTTTCTTGCCTTTGAGGACCAGGGAGCTTTGTGAAAAACGGTGCTTGGCATTTCTTGTATTATTTAAAAAACATGTCAGTACCTTTCAAAATCCTCAAAAGACTCAGAAACCCAAGATGTGCTCTGATGTGTATCTTTCTCACCTTTAAAATAGCCTCAGCCTGGGGCGCCTGGGTGGCTCAGTTCGGTTAAGCGTCTGACTTCGGCCCGGGTCACGATCTCGTGGTCCGTGAGTTCGAGCCCCGCGTCGGGCTCTGGGCTGATGGCTCAGAGCCTGGAGCCTGCTTCTGATTCCGTCTCCCTCTCTCTCTGCCCCTCCCCCATTCATGCTCTGTCTCTCTCTGTCTCAAAAATAAATAAACGTTAAAACAAAAAATTAAAAAATAAAATAAAATAAAATAGCCTCAGCCTTAGAGGGACCTGGACAAAAGGGTGCTAGATAAGAGTGTATATTTAAAAAAAATTTTTTTAATGTTCATTTATCACTGAGACAGACACAGAGGGACACAGAATCGGAAGCAGGCTCCAGGCTCTGAGCTGTCAGCACAGAGCCCGAGGCGGGGCTCGAACTCACAAACCGCGAGATCATGACCTGAGACACAGTCGGATGCTTAACCGACTGAACCACCCAGGTGCCCCTAGAGTGTGTATTTTAGACCAGATAGTTGTAAATACCAGATTAAAAAAAATATTGCTGTTGTGGGGCGCCTGGGTGGCTCAGTCCGTTGAGCGTTCAACTCTTGATCTCAGTTCTGGTCTTGATCTCAGGGTTGTGAGTTCATGCCCCACATTGGGCTCTGCGTCAGACGTGAAACATACTTGAAAAAAATATATTGCTGTTATTACTATAAGCTACCTAATAAGTTGTACTCCTTGACAAAACTTCAAATCACTCAAAAGAACACAAGGGAAAAAGTGAAACTCATCTCATATCCATTTCTTGGGGTATCAACTATTAATAATTTACTGGTTATCTTCCCAGATACTTCTTTATACTCATACAATTTTATATATGGATATGTATTTACATATGTATACAGCCTATATGTAATATAGCAAACAAAATGGCATCACAATATATTCTTCTGTAGTTTGCTCCCGTCATTTAATATATATAATGAAAAGCCTTCAATGTCAGGACATATAAATCCACCTCCTTCTTTTTAACTGTTGTGTAGTGTTTCATGAGCTATTTAGTGTATCATGGGCTATTTAACCCTTCCTCTATGGTGGGCATTACACAGGTCTTTGTTTTAAGCAGTGTTGTACCTATGGAATAGGGGTTGATGCCTGGTTGTGTGGGTAGTTGACAGGGGAGGACCAGGAACTTGGACACTTCTGAACCCCTGTGGGAAAATAAGAACTTGGTTATCTCAGTATGACATGGTCAGTTGGGCAGGCAGCAGTAAGACAAGATCTCAAGCCAGGCCTCCAAATTACATTCATTATAGGCTTTGATGAAAAGGCCGTGCCTGCAAATAACTTGTTACTGCTGAAGACTTGCCCTTAGGAGGGCATGTACCCAGAGGAACAACATGATTGCAAATTTGCAGGAACCTCACAGAAGCCAGTTTATAGAGCTCAGTCATGTCTTACCAGGGACACATCAGTTTAAAAGTAGAGTCTGGAGTGCGATATCTCTCTTTCTCTCTCTCTCTCTCTCTCTCTTTTTCTCTTTGTCTGTCTCTCTCTCTTTCAACTGATAGTTGCTGTTGTAGCCAGCTTCATTGTAGTTGATAAGACATTCATAGAATCACAGAGTTTTGAAAGACTTAGAAGTCACCTAGTCTAGCCCTCTTTGTACAGATGAGGGCCCTGAGGGTGGGGGGGGGGAGGGGAGGGCTGAGGGTGAGGTGCATAGACCTGTTGCCCAGGCTGGGAGTCTTTATACCACGCATCTCTGACTTTATTTTCCCCAAGTCAGTTAAAGCTCATCTGACTCTAAACCTTACCCATTAATTTTATTTTTGATGCAAATTAAGAATTGTACCTCAAGAAGCCATTGTGCTTCTAGAAAACCTGTTCTTGAAGGCTTATCTCTGTGCTTCTGCCTCCCCTCCATCCATTCTCTGGAGGGAAGGTAATGACATTCATACAAGGGGCAACCCACCTTCTGTTCTCCCAAGGAGAACAGTCAGCCTGTAAGTGGATCTGATGAATTTATGGTTCAAACTGAAGTGATTGCTCTTGTCTTTGTTTTCACTCCTTTGGGAGAAAGTGGTTCTCCAGTGGTTTAGGCTTTTGCTTAAGGCATATGAAGTTGATTTCCCTTTGTACGTGTTTCCAAATCATTGCCTGAAGAATTCGCTGGTTCTGTTTAATTCAACAGAACGTTATTGAACACCCACAATGTGCAGAATTCTAGGAGAGATTGAGGGATGAGAACAACAGAGAGTTTATGCTGTAAGACAAGTATAGAACTAGTTACAAAACACAATAGAGTTCCTGAAAGATGCTTTCATAGAGATGCCAAAAATACAATGTGGATGGATGCAAAGGATTGTGGGGCACTGAGATGGGCATTGGCAGTGAGCAGGGAAAGATGATCCCAAGTCCTGATGGCTAGAGAGCATTTTGAGGTGAGCAGTTGTGTGAGGGAAGGTAAGGGGTGGTGAGAAGATATTTCTGGAGAATGTGCTCATTTAGTTTGACTAAAGCAAGGAGCACATGTGGTGGGGCATTTGTGGATGTTAAATTTGAGTGTGTTAGGAGCATCCAATGGCAGGGGTGAATATATTTTGCGGGTGTGTGCAAAGGGGAGAGAGTGAGTACAAGTTGTTGAGTGGGTCAGTGGCATGATTAGCAATTAATCTGGGGAAGATATGGCTGGAAGTCTAGACTTGGAAGGCAGCTGAAATATTGGGAAAAGCCATTGAGGGTGGGGAGTGAGGAAAGCACTGAGCTGAGCTGGAGCATTGGAGGGGAGTGGAGAGAGACCCCAGGGAAGTCTTGAGTGTGGATTGGGTGAGAAAGGGCAGTGAGGTTCTCAAAGAGAAGGTTCTAGCAATTGAGAGTAGGGCCATGCCATCCAAAAACAAAGCAAAACAAACCCCCAAAACAGAATTCCAAAGCAGAAGCTGGTTTTAGAGGCTGGGGATGGATGAGAAGGTGATTCCAACATTTTGGAAACGTTAAACTTGTTATGTTGGAGCGCTATCCAGTTGGAGGTGTTGTTCAGCCTGCTGTTGGATGGGCTGTGTGGGATTAGGGCAAGAAATCCTGCCTCACGGTTTGGCCACTGGATTTTGGCACCTTTGCCCTGAGGCAGAGAGGAAGAGGGGAAGAAAATCAGGACTGGATTTAACAGAACATGCAGGAGTTCAGAGCATGTTTTGGGGAGCAGTGGAGTTGGGCTTGGAGTCCTGCTGTGCTATTCAATTTCTGTGAGGATTTGGGCAATTGATGGAATATCTCAGAGCCTCAGTTTTCCCACTTATAAGATGGAGACCACCATTTTTCTTAAACCTCAGAACGTTGTGTAAGGATGAATTGAGTTCATTAAACAGGTACCAATATCGTCATTACTTTGTTAGGCTGAAGATTATTATTATTTTTGTTATAAACTGGTATGTCTTTCTATTTTGCCTTTCAATCCATAGTAGTTACCCATGTGCACTCATACATTCCCAGGCATGTATTTCAGGATGGAACATTATATATTAGAGCAACGTTGCACCATCAGGTCGATTACAGGAAACCTCTTATACTGCTCATGTGGTATCCAGAAAAGTTGCTTTAAAAAAATTTTTTTTTAATGTTTATTTTTGAGAGAGAGAAAGAG